TTCCTTACACTCCGAGTAGAGCAACAGAACGCTAATAATTTTTCATCTACATCTTGGCTTCATATATGCCCTATCTGTGTTTGTATTTCAAGTTTGGTCTTCTTCCATGTTTGCTTGGCAGCTGACTCTGGCAAAAAGTATTTATGTTTTGGTAAAGGAAAAATTATGGTTCAGTTAACATTTTCCGTGTAATGATATTTCAGGCTATTCTCTTTCCCACTCCATTCTTCCCAAGTGGACATCGTAAAACGCAATCCAGCAAGAGAAGATTGGTGGACAGGATCTGCTCCTTCTGGGCCATTTATCTATACTCCTTTCAGCAAAGGCGATGCAAACGAAAGTAGCAAGCAGGAATTGATATGGGTGGTTGGTGAACCAGTTCAGGTCTTAGTGGAGTTGGCAAATCCATGTTGCTTCGATTTAAGGGTGGATAGTATTTATCTCTCAGCTCACTCAAAAAACTTTGATTCGTTTCCTGTCAGTGTGGACATTCCCCCTAACTCCGCAAAGGTGATCACGCTATCTGGTATTCCAACAGCAGTAGGACCAGTGACAATTCCAGGCTGCACAGTTCACTGCTTTGGTGTAATCACGGAACATGTTTTCAGGGATGTTGACAATCTGCTTCTTGGAGCAGCACAGGGACTCGTATTTTCTGACCCTTTCAGATCATGTGGATCTGCAAAGCTACGACATGTATTTGTTCCTAACATATCAGTTGTACCTCCGTTGCCCCTCCTTGTGGCAAATGTTGTTGGTGGTGACGGTGCAATTATTCTGTATGAAGGTGAAATTCGCGAGGTGTGTATAAACTTTGCAAATGCAGGCACAGTTCCAATAGAACAAGCACATATCTCGCTCTCTGGAAAGAATCAGGATGCTGTTATCTCTATAGCGAATGAAGCTTTACAGTCTGCTCTTCCTTTGAAGCCCGGGGCACAAGTGACTCTGCCTGTGACTTTAAAAGCTTGGCATGTGGGACCAGTGGATTCGGACAATAGTGTTGGCGGTGGCAGGAACGCTGCGGGCAACACAGGAAGACCAAAAGACGGAACTAGCCCTTCATTACTTATTCACTATGCAGGTACAGTACAGATATGTTGATGACCTATTTTATGATGCATCTTACTTTTGCATGCCTCACGATAACTAAACTATCTATGCATGTTTGTATTCACATTTTTTTACAGGGCCGGTATCTAATAACGGGGATCCCCAGGAAAAAGAATCTGTCGTGCCACCAGGCAGACGTCTTGTTGTTCCCTTACAAATTTGTGTTTTACAAGGTTTGTCTTTTGTGAAAGCTCGTTTGCTTTCCATGGAAATCCCTGCACATGTGGGTGATAACCTTCGGGATGAAGACAATGAAACAGAGAGCAATACAGACAGACTTGTCAAGATCAATCCCTTTCGGGGAAGCTGGGGCTTACGGTTTCTTGAACTCGAGTTATCTAACCCAACAGACGTTGTTTTCGAAATCAGCGTCTTTGTTCAGCTGGAAAATTCCGCCAAGGAAGATGATTCTTCCCCAGTCCAAGATTCTCCAGAGTATGAATACCCAAAAACAAGAATCGACCGAGACTATTCTGCTAGGGTACTAATTCCATTGGAGCATTTCAAGCTACCGGTTCTTGACGGTTCATTCTTCACAAAGGATCCTCCGCCTGGTACCCCTTCAAGTAGTCAACATCCAAGCTTTTCAGAGAAGAACACGAAAGCTGAGATAAACGCATTGATCAAAAATCTCATTTCTAAGATTAAAGTCAGGTGGCAATCGGGAAGGAACAGCTCAGGAGAACTGGGCATAAAGGATGCAATTCAGACAGCACTCCAGACGACCGTGATGGATGTGTTGCTCCCAGATCCGCTAACATTTGGTTTCAGACTGGTCAGAAACGGTGCGGAGACAAAAGCTCAGTCACCGTTGTCAAAGGGATCAGTTTTGTCACATGAAGTCACACCTATGGAGGTTCTGGTCCGCAATAACACAAGCGAAGCAATCAAGTTGAATTTAAGTGTTACTTGCAGAGACGTAGCTGGACAGAACTGTGCTGAAGGAGCTGATGCCACTGTCCTATGGGCTGGTAAATTTTTTATTTTTGTGTTGTTGTTTTTACTGTATAAAACATGTAATTAAAATGTAGATTATTATAGCTGTGTATTGCGTGATTCTAGGTGGTGGCTTATACATATGTATATGTGACTTATTTTTGTCAGGTGCACTTAGTGGAATCTCAATGGAAGTTGCGCCCCTGCAAGAAACAAGACACTGTTTCTCACTCTACTTCCTTGTTCCTGGAGAGTACACGATGGTAGCGGCGGCTGTAATTGAAGATGCTAACAATGTACTAAGAGCAAGGGCACGAACAGCATCTCCCAACGAACCCATCTTTTGCCGAGGACCGCCTTTTCATGTACGTGTCACTGGAGGCGAAATGTGATCTGTTTCTTCCAACCGTTTCAGGTTTGAACATTATGCGACTGTTTTATCGCTCTGTTAATTTCACGAGAGAATCCATTGTTTTTAAGTACTGGTTCTAGATATATATGTGCTTGTGTGTGTCTGTGTGTGTTTTTACCTTTAATATTTTTGAGACCATCGTGCATGTGCTGTATTCTTTTTGAATCTTACGGCCTCAGTTCTGAGACCGCTCTTCTCGAAGTAATTTATGGAACGATCCTCACCACCATCTTCCACCATCATCATATCTTGTGAATAACATATAGTTTTCTCTTGTAGCGTTTAATAGAACCACTTCTAATATTCATGGTCTATTATGGGTTTGATTTGTCATAATATATCAAATTGGATTGTAGAACTTTGGATCTTTCAGCTAGTAGCTAACAATAGGGGAATACGATTGCATGACGTTGCACTCCGACCGTTCGATGGGGTTTTGATTGGTCTTTGTCTTCTACTTATACGACAGTAAACAGCTGTGTGTTATCCGTTACGTAACAGTGACGAAACAATTGCTTCTTCGTCTTCTCCTTTGTCCTCATGGATAATTATAATAAACTTTTTACGATTGCTGAATAAATTGAAAGATTCGCTTATCTGAAAGTGATGCGAAAAAAATAAAGCGAGACAGATCAATAATAAAGTGCTAGTGAATAAACTATGGGATAGAGAATAAAATACAGTAGGACAAGGAAGTTGACAATACATTCTCTCACTCTATCATGCGCCTCTTTCAGTTTCCATGTTAGCTAATGTATGCTGAAATTTCTGATCTGATATTCTACCCAAAAAGACAAGATAATCCACATGTTTTAGACTATTCTGGCGTTTCTCTGAAAAAGCTTCAGATATATGTCGGATAAGAAGCTCTTTGGGAACACCAATACGATGAAATAACGTTCGAATGAAGTTTGACATCACATACTTTTCCCATTATTAATTTAAGATGGCGAATGTCTATTTGGTACGGCATCATTTGCAAGTTGAGGTGACGACCTATATTCAAATATTCGTTACTGGAGACACGTAGATGCAGTTTCTCTCTTGTCACGAAACATGCTGAGAATTATAATACAAATTTGACTTTATATATTAATTACTAATTAATCTGTAAGCAACTCTACTGCCTAAACTGTTGTTTTACAATCAACGTAAGATTCAAATGTAACATGTTTTTTTGGTTAAAAAAATTCAACATGTCAATATATAATAGGGGTGTAAAATTTTCGAAAGCTATTGTTTACTATCGGGTGAACTATGTCGTGGTTTTGTATACTGTTGGTGTTGGGTTTGATTGTACATTTATCATTAGTCATTTTCTTTCTATGTGGTCTTGTCCTTTGTGTTTGTAGAAAAAGTTAGGTCGTCTCATAGTTATTTGAGATAATGATTTTGTTTTTACTTTTTAGTAATCACTCCATAAATAATGATAAAATAGACGAAAGCATAGAGCATAAGTACTCCAGAGATAATGATAAACTACTTATCTAATCTACATGACTCCATTATCGCTTTGATTAGTTGTAAAGTGAGCTAAATATTTTTTGATACTCATACACTTTTTTATACACGCGTTGTTAAAAATATCTAAAATTAACAAATTTAATGACGATGATTGACAATGAATGTTGTGACTTTGGAAGATCAGCTCTATAGCTATATAAATTACATACTAGACAAAAGAAGAGAGATTTTAGGCATCAGAAAAGAAAGCGACATGACGACTAGTGGCAAGTGGGTGTATCACTAGATTTCACAAAACATCCCAAACATATCAATACATGTGAAGAAAGCGTTTTTTGGTACTCTTTTCTTTTGTTGCTTTCGTCCCCACTTCACACTCTTATCCTCAGAGTCACACCACTTGTTTCGTATATCTCTTTGTTTATTTTTTATTCAATACAATGTGGATAATACGATACTAGTTGACTTGACCACCACTATCTTCCCGTTGACAGCTTTACCAATATCTCTACATCTTTGAATCATCACTTTCCCAACTAATAGCTAATTGAAATGTAAAGATTGATTCTCCTAACTGGCTATTCTCATTGCTAAACACATACTCTAGCTCCAGTTGCAGACGCAGGTTCCTGTGTTTGAAAAAGCATAACCAAACTTTTTTTTGTTTGTACATGAGTTTAATACGAAAACATAACTACATCAAAACCAACTGCAGTGTACCACGTCCTTGAAAAACTGTATGAATGCTACAACGGTCTCACTCTAACCATAAACATTTTTTTTTTTTTGTAAATAACTCTGGTCATAAGCTTATAACGTTTCTTCTGAATCTGCTATAATTAGTCTTTAAAGTTTTAGAAACTCTCAGTCAATAGTTATCTACATTTGTTGGAAAATATATCTTTTGCTATTTTTGATACTTGACTTGTCAACTGCATATAGTTTAGAATCTTCACTTGACTCACGGTTTTATTTAACAAGGTTCCAATGACGTTGATTAAACTATCCTCAGCTCTAGAAGAATCACCACACACCTCAACATCTTGTGTTCCATCAAAATACAGTGTGCTAATTAGTAACCATTAATTTCAACTCCAATTTTTTTTGTTGTCAACAACATCTCTACCAATCAAAAGTAAAATCGATTAGATGTGTAATAGTAAACTAAATGTTTTAATTACAAAGAAAGATCAGAGAAAGATATAGAAAATGTTTATTTATTGTTTTTGTGCAAACATTCAATCTATACGCGAAAGAGCATTTACATTTACATTTACATTAAACGACGTCGTATTCGTCAACGGAAGAAAAATTTATATATTCTCGCCGCGCGTCACAAGAAATCAAAAGAAACCAAATAACCGATTCAGAACGAGATAAGATCAACCGTCGCCGATCTTTTCGCCACGGGAGACGCAGGCAACCTCGCCGTGAAACTCGGGAAAGAAACATCCTCGTAAGCTCGCACGTCGTCCTCGAAATTGAGCGCGTAGCTCAACGCATCGTAGCTGAAATCCACAGGATAGCTCTGGCTCTGATGTCTTTGATGATGATTATGATGATAAGCGCAGTTATTGTTGCGGCACGTGACCTTGATGCGTGACTTGACACGTCGGCAACGATCTCTGATCTCTAGCTCCTGCGCCGTGGATTTGAGCCACTCGTAAGGAGATTTAGGAGTTCTCTGCCCGATGATCATTGCTTCTGGTTCGACCACGGCGTTGGCGGCTCCTAAGCAGCAGATGGGAGATCGCATTCTGTGAGTTCTTGTTGATCTGGCGGAAGAGGGAGAGGTGCATTCGTTGTACATCTTTGGGATTTCTTGAATAAAATTGGGTTAAAGAGAAAAAGAGAAGGTTGTTGTTGTAGAGAACAAGAAAAGGGAGAGAAGTGAGGCAAAAAAGAAGGATTGGGAGAGAATAAATAGGAATAAAAAAATTGATTAGGGGAAGAAGATAAGGGAGTCCGTGGGTAAAGCGTGGGCTTTGGGCCCAGTTCCGCGTTTTCTGTGTGTTTTGTTTTGGTTTTAATTCGTACCCACTGATTTAGTATTATTAAACTTGAAAAATGCTACATTTTTTTTTCTTCATTTTTCGGGGCAATTCTCTAAAATAACTTTTTTTAAGTTTTATCATAAAAATAAACTTCAAAAATTAAAATGACCAAAATAACACTTTTTATTTAGAAATTTTTTAGTTTTCTTAATTTTTTTTAAGTTCGAAACCATGTCCCCAAAACCTGCTATTTTCGTCATTTTAATTGTTAATATCTATATTTGTGATAAAAAAATGTTAGGTGTATTCTGATCATTTTTTTTTTCACTGTGTGTTTACCATCTCATCTTCTTAATCTTGAATCTGAATCCTCAAGCTCGTCCTGCATATTAACACCACAACACACTCAAAAGAGCTATAATACTCCACTACATATATGATATGTGCTCAAAGAATCCATCAAGCACCTCTGTGGTGAGCTGAGGATCGGAGATATTAAACGCATATTGAGATGCTGAGCTGGCTAATCAGACATGGACAAAGAAACCTAACGCTTACTTGGCTTATTACCACAGCATTTATTGAGGCATTAACAAGTGGTAAAATTCCTGCTCCATTACTTGTTTACAACCGAGGCTGATGTAATTCTAAACAATGCAAAAATGCAGAAATATTGTCAACATAATGAAGACAGAGACTTAACAAAATCTGAAACTGTGAGCGAGCGACGAGAAGCAGAAACCACCTGAGATACATATAAAGCTATTTCGCTAGATTCAGTCAAAGCTTTGGCTCTACAAAGAAGAGGATCTAGTATCATCCATGACTGTGAGGTAGGCCTAGACATTCGGGTAATCGGGTCGGGTCCGGATCGGGTCCTTTCGGGTTCGGGTCGTTCGGATCTAATGATAATTTCAAATTTTCAATTCCGGATCGGTTTAGGTCATACCAGGTCCGAGTCGCGTTGGGCCTTAGATAATTGGACCCATTCGGGTAATTAAAATTTATCCGTTCGGATTCGGTTCGATTCCGGGTGAGGTTCGACCTAAAAAATACCTAAATATACACAAAAATATCTGAAAATATTTATATATCCAAAAATATTCAAAATTTGTGTTTTTATTAATTAAAATGTGTATATATATTAAACTATGCGAGATACAACAATAATTTGTTGTCTCCTAGTGGTTAACCCCCTTACTCTCTATAGAAACAACATGTCTTCGACTCCTCCTCAATGCATTTTATTTAATTTACATTATTAATTCGGGTACCCATCAGATTTCAGATTCGATCCGGGTCGGGTGCAAGACCCGCGGGTCGCAGATCCTCTACAACAAAACTCGATAGAATAATTTGAGCGGACCGGTTCCTATTCGGACCAGGTTTTTTCGGATGGATTTCGGGTCGGGTCCGGATAAAATGGCCAGACCTACTGTGAGGTGTCTGGGATTGTTTAAACCGAATGGCGTAGACACCTTCCGGTTAATAAAAATATTGCATTGTTCAAATGTTTAGCAGAATAACATACAAAGCCCCCTTCTTTGTTTAGATGTTTACATTGTAAACCACAATCTTTATTTCTATTATTAAAAAAAAATTCTCAAATAAGCCCCTAACTTTGTTGTCTGTTTTCTTTCCCATCCCATAGAATTTAGTGGCTGCGACGAGAGAACTCTCTCACCTTTAGAAGCTTTGAACCCTAAAACCCCTCTCGCGATCCAGATTTCAGGTATGATTCCGATGGCCTCCTCTCTAAGTCTAACCGCATCTTCTACTGTCTAGAATGTGGAATCACCAACTGCTTGTCGTTTTTAAGTGCAGAATCCGAACCCGGCGACATTCGCTATCACGAGACATGAGATGGCTGAGATACCTAAACCAATGGCGTGGAACAGCGAAGGAAGCCTTCGAGCAAGTATCAATCGTCGCCAAGTTTCTCTGTTTGATTCATGTCACCGATCGTTACATTATCTCCTCCACTCACGTCTGTAATCAAATTGCAGTTTCAGTCTCTTTCTTAGCTTTCCTCTCTTTCGTCTAATTTAGGTTAAATTTGGGGTTTTTTTTTTTAGGTTCAAGGTCCTAGCATGCTTCCGACACTTAACCTCACCGGCGATGTCATTTTAGCCGAACATTTATCTCACAGGTTCGGTAAGATTGGTCTCGGTGACATTGTGTTGGTTCGATCTCCGACAGATCCAACTAGGATGGTGACAAAGCGTGTCTTGGGTTTAGAAGGGCATAGACTCTCTTTCTCTGCTGACCCTTTGGTTGGTGATCGCTCAGTTAGCGTTGTGGTATGGGCATTGACCAATCTCTTTATGCAAGATTCAATCTTTTGATTAAAAAAAACATGTGTAAAGTTTTAGGCTTTAGGGTTTATATGTGTATGGTTGATGTTTTTTAGGCTCTTCAGTGTTCATGTTAATAGGGTTTATGTGTTGGTTATTTGAATAGGTTCCAAAAGGGCATGTTTGGATTCAGGGAGATAATTTGTATGCATCAACTGATTCGCGTAATTTTGGACCTGTACCTTACAATCTCATCGAAGGAAAAGCTCTTCTCCGGGTAAGTCTTTTGTAGTCTGGAACCTTTGTTTTTTAGCTCTAAAGTTGTTATGAAATACACATGTAGTGACTATATGTTTTGCTTCTCTAGGTCTGGCCACCACGATACTTTGGGTCATTGAGGTGACGATCACATCCGAGTTGTTTCACTTTCAGTTGCTTTTGCAGTAGGATGTGTGAAGAGATTGATTACTCCAGCGATTTGATTGCAATGTTGTTCACTCATACGAGTAGTGTACTGTATAATTCAGATTTCTATAAAATCACAGAAGTGGGATAAGCATTTTTGCTCTGTTTCATTATTGGCAATATTAGAGGAAGCCATGGACCTGACATAGTTTTATACCTGGAGCTACATCTAATGCTGAATTTGAGCAAAGTTTTAGATGTTTTGATCCTTTTGTGGAGAGAAGCCAAACTGGGATAGAGACTTGTTGGTTGGTTCTATGTATGCGTTGGCATAACCTAACTAAACCGAACCAGTCTTCTCCTTTAAGGCTTTAACCAGTCTTATTTACAAGATTTTTCTTTATCAGCAAGAATGTTTTCAAATTCAGATTGGAGGCTGGTCTGACCGGAGATAGATACTCTTGCCAGCTGGCCGGGAGTTACGTGTTTGACGTAATCTCTCCACTAATATCTTAAGATGTCAATGATAATAGCCAATATAATTTCGAAAGCAATGAAAATCACTTCTTCAAAATTGCTTCACTAGTAAAAAGAGAAAATAGACGAGTAACTAATGTTATGATTATAACCTTCGACATGATGATGTTAGTAAAATATATGATATTTTTTCTGGATTGTTTAGATAATACCAAGATATTCAAATGTCTTTTTAGGTGGATGGTTATTGCTTAACCAAATCTACAAAGAACCAGAGAAGAAAAAATAATGGCACATCAGCATACAACATCACTGTTACCTCCGTTTTAATAATAGGGATATCAGAATATACCGGGATAAAATAAGCATCTTCTTCTTAATAAAGGGTTCTGGAATTAAATAATCACCAAAGTCTAGTCTACCATTGGCGTGAAGCCGACAATTAATACATAAGATTCTTCTATTTAATATTATCATAGACTATATTTCTTTTTTTATTGCATGATAAATTAGACTTAATTTTCCGTTAATAGAGGACTCTAACACGTTTTATACTCTCCCATATAGCCAAAATAATTATCAATTTATTTTGTCTAATGACCCAAGATTGCAAATTTACTCTCGTGATCCTGACACCACTAGAGTAAAAAACTTTCCTTGCTAGAAGAAAAAAACTTGAAAAAGGCAAAAAATGTAAAGCTAACAAAAAAAGAGGTGATCTGAGATAATACTAAAGTACTAGTAGATAGATTGTAATAAGAGAAATAATCACATGACCATTGCCAGGATCAAGATTCATGACCATGTTAAATAACTCTAAATCTAGTGTCAGACATTGGATCACCAGTTAGCAATTTTGTCTCTTGGATTGTTCTAGGTAAGCCTGGACACGTATGAGACTCAGCCACACGTGTTGTAGTTATGTGGGACGAGGTGGTTTGGTGTTGTTAGCCTATTGCTTTAACACAATGTATGTCCCGACCATACAAAACTAACTGTTTTGTCCCTAACTCACCCAACAAGAACTCCATGTGCTCCGCATTCTTGATCCCCTACTATCTTACATTTTTTATTTCTTAGATTTGTCTAAAATCAACCCGTTCCGATCGTCCTACCTACTTTAGTATGTATATAATGTATAGGCCCTAATGTTTAATATATCTGTTTTAGCTATAATACTATGTTAGTGCTATCAAGTTTGATATATTGGTACTTTGAATTACAGCATATGGGTTCTACCGAGAGCATCTATCTTTCATAAAATGGTCTCAAGATTTATTGACTTGAATCAAATCTCGAAGATGTATTGACTTGACTCCTTTCCATCTAGTAAGCCACCCAAAGATTACTCACCTCACTTTAAAAGTGGACTTCTATGAAACCCAACTCCTAAAGCCAACGTTAACTATATTCTTCAAGTCTGACTGAATATACGTCTGTTTTGATGGCTACAAATAATCACAGTGGAATATGGCTGTTGAGAGATTTAGCATCTGACGTACAGTCAAATTATTGAACAGTATATAATCGTTTCAAGAGCAAAAATCGCTTAAAATGTAATTATAGTGCTAGTAGTTACGTTGTACTCCTGTTGATAACATGGTTTTAATTAATTACATCACAAATGTTGGAATAATATTTCGAATCATTAGTTCCATCAATACCTAATTCTAAGTCCAATGTCAAACAAAGTTGCATGATTCCTAATTTTACTCCATTGGATCAAGTATAACGAATTCTAGTTTCGTTATGGTTATAACCTTGATTTGAAGTCCCTCCAAAAGTTTGGCCAGTAAGTTTGAGGTGAAAAGTTGTTGACATGTCTTTGATTGGTTAAATGTGATAATTATATGGTATGAATTAACTCCAACTACTAAAAATACGGTATTAAAATGTTTCTGTACAAACCATTTTCTTTTTGTATGCAAACCATATATAATGTGTTGCGAAATGACGATTACTAGTGCCTTCTACAGAACTAGCTATGTCAACTTCTATCTTTAGCTTCCCATCACTCGTTTCTTTAGTTAGTGTTATTATGTCTCTTCGAGCAAACATATATTCTTACGAATTCACATTGCCTATTATATAGACCTCACTAAAAAGTAGAGATCCAGCAACTCTCCTCAGCTATTTATGCTACAATCAGCTAGATCATAAATGCTTCTTTGATATGTTTACGTTCAATTTGTAAGATTCTATATTATTGTTGGATACCAGCAGCTACTTTTGAATATTAGCAATTAATATTTGATGTTAACAGACTAAGTCTAACAAAGAATTCCACCAACGCGTGTTTCAGACCAGCAAATAAGATCAATAAAATGTGCAGTTGACAAGTTTGTATCCAAGTCGTACTAAAAATATACAATTACTTACATTTGCTTGTAATTAATTTAAAGTTTGTATCCAAGTCGTACTAAAAAATACAATTACTTACATTTGTTTATAATTAATTTTCAATAATCTACTTTTATTGAGTTGACCCCCCCAAAAAAATACTTTTATTGCAAATATGTTAACATAAGTAAACTATCTAATTGTTCATTTCATATTTTGATTTATTCTACTCTTCTTAAAATAACATATTCGTATAAATGTATTTCTCTGAATTACCGTTATGAAACAATAAAATTGTGAAGCCAACTCAAAAAAAGACCATAGGAATTGCAAATCCGGCTCCTGCCAAAAACAACGGGCAATGTCATTTCGTAATTACCGCAGCTTTTTCTAGTCATCATCATCATACGTGGTAGCAGCTTTTGTAACTGCCCACAAAACTCATTCCTCTGAACCGTCCTTCTCAGCCGTTGGATCAATAACCAGATCCTTTCCAAAACTACAAAACCGCCAATTTGAAAAAAAGAAATGACAAAAGGAAATAACCAAAAGCCTATAATAAATAATAATTAAACTAACCATGGTTAACTTCGACTAAACCCAACATAAAATCACCCTAAATACAAAAAAGGTCAAAATGTTCGTAAATATTTACAATTAATGCCATTGAGGCAGCTTTTGCTATAAATAGCGTTCCTGAGACTCGCTAGGTTTGCCGAACCAACCTCCCTCCCAGACCTTCTAAAGAGCAAAGCCTCCTCTTGAGAAAGACTTCTTCTCTTTAAAACTTTTTTTTTTAAATATGCAAAGAAAAACAATGGTGACGACGTCGTCTCGTACCAAATCAAACACCTCCATGCTCCGTTCCCAATCACCATCCGGCCGATTCTGCGGCGGTTATTCGTCGTCTTCCTCCTCATCCTCCTCAGCTTTCGCTTCGTCTACAAGCTCCAGCTTCTCATCTCCGTCCTCATCCTTCTTCAGCAACCACAGCCACCACAGATCTGCGTCTCCGACGCGCGTGAATCTCTACAACCCCCAGCCGTTAGCTCAATCGTTCCGTTACTCTCTCGACAGCAGATCTATCTCCCCGACGACGAACAGATCCATCTCCGTCACGAAGAAAAATCAGCCTAGCGGCCACCACCACCACAAGATCTCTAACTCTTCGCCGAGGAGGTGTATGTGTTCTCCGACGACGCATCCGGGATCTTTCAGATGTAGTCTTCACAAAAACGTGGCGAATCCGCACGGGCAAGGAACGGCGTCGTATCCGGCGAGTAGTTTGAATATGAGGAGATCTGCGATGACGAATTCGCTTGTGAGGATTGGTGGTGTTGAAGGAGAGTGGGTGAGAAGGGCCTTGACGACTCTGATAAGGCCTTCGTCGCATCATCTGAGACGAAGGGCTGCTTATCAGCCTCGTCCCAGTAGGTTTTCGGCTATGTCGAAAGCCGCTACTGAGTGTAATTGATCTGGTTTTCAGATTTCAGGTTTGCTCTTATCTTTTCAAAAAAAAAAACAAAAACAAACCACAGGATTGGTGAGGCGAAGAAGACGGGTAGATCTGGATGAGGAGGAGCAACATAGAGTTTTGTAAAATGAAGATCTGGAGAAAGATATATTTTTTTGTTTGTTGTTGGGTGAAGAAAGATGCGAAATGGCATTGTATATATTTTACTGTGTTGTTGGGGCTATCTCTCTGAAAGAAAGAAAAAAAAATATGTCGAATTAGCTAAATTGAACCTAAGCTAGAATCAAAACTATCAAAATCAAATTTCTGAATCCAGTTTTTTTTTTTTTTTTTTTTTTTTTGCATAAAACAAGTGAGATTTTTTAGATCTCTAGACTCATATATGATTTGTGTGTGTATGCAGTGTTTGTCAGATTCCCGTGTTTTCTATTTCCGTCAAGTCTACTACGTTGCGTTGCGTTCCGTTCATTTTTCAGGTATGTGTTGTTCGTCGTGTGAGGTATGTTCTTTCGTTTTTGTTTCTCGTTATGTATTTATATGTTTTCTGTGTGTGAGTTTTTGTTTATCTTTTCTTTTGCAGGTTTCGTTTGGGCGATTGAGTTTTTAAATTACAGTCCCCGGGACATGAAATTTGTGATGGTACTGAAAAATGAACAAAAAAAAAATATCCAGCTGAAAAGTTAACTTGCATAAAAAAAATTGGTTTCATCAAGACGAGGATATGGTCTTCCTGGACACTACGGAAAAATTCTTGAGAGTATATCACTGATGACAAAATTTTCCACAGTACTGAAAAAGAGGAGATAAAAATTCAGAGAAAACTAGAAGAGTATACTTTGAATAGATGAATGACCAATATAAACAGACCCAATCATGCTATAATAAGAGGAGTTGATGGGACTAAATGCATTTGAATAAATGAAAATTGGAATTTTCGTGGACATGTAAAAAAGGAAATTTTGAAAGAGGAAATTAAGAAGCAGAAGTGGGAAGCACACGTCTGATCTTCAACACTATTATACTCGGATCTTATTCCTATACGTTCGGGTGTACCAGAAAGTTGGATCAGAGTTGTGATCTCAATGATGGACCCTCTCGGTTTAGACCGGTTTATGTTTAATCCGTCTTGGTTTAGTGATCGAACATACATGATTTTGCTAGGGATATATACTAAATCCATATCATTGTGACATCATGAGAGATACTATGCTGGAAGAGTATGTTAAATAATTGATATACTACTAGTTATAATCTCTTATAACTATGTTGATATCCTTTTCCTCTTTAACTTTGATTCAATCCATGGACCATAGTGACATCATTAAGAGGTAGGGGCGACTACTTTGCCTAAATATTATTTAGTTGCAAATTTCCTAAAAACCAAGAGAAATATGAAGAGATAAGCGTGCTGCGTGCAAGCGATATTATGATTTAGGTGAGGTGGAAACCAAACTTATCGTGATGTGAACGTAAAATACGCAAAAAACTAAACAACGTCCACAATTAGGGAATATGCTGATTTTAGATAATGCAACGAAGATTTCATCTTCACTACTATAATCTACACGATTTTTTTTCAACATTTACGTCAGGCTTTTATACCATAGTTAATTAGATTTGCAAGATAGTATCGGTATTATATTTTACGCAATGCAAGATTTAGATGGCTGATTAATTTAATTTTCAACTAATACAAAGCGTTACGTCTGACGTTCAATCTCGTGTTGACCCCAAAGAAGGCATGAAAAGTAATATTTTAATGATGTTTAACCGAAGATAGTGGTGCTAAATTAATAAAAATGACGACATTCATTTGGTAACTTCGGGTTCAAAATGACGAAAGTGACTGTATTTTGCCATGTTCTCAAATGTTCCACACTCTAATCACACGTATTTTTTCTCTTGCTCTTGAGCTATTTCTCATCTGAGCGTATGTGAATGAACATATCCTCCAGTCAAACCGACTTTTAACCGAAGCAGATGGATATGGACTAACTACCATATCCTATATATTAATGACTATATAATATCAGCATATTTTCTCCGAAATACACTTCTTGTGTGGCTCTTTTCCTTTTGGCTTGTGATTATTGAATTCTTAAATCTTCTCTTTTGAGTTGTGCTCTTTAAAGAACGGACAACGTAAGTTGGCTTAACAACCAAGTTTTTAGAGAATTTTGGTGTCAAGTCCATATTAAATTGAATTTGATTATTTTTTAAAGTTATAATGGACAAAAAAAATCAGAAATGATCATTGGACCTGTTATCAACTCGTTTTTTTCTAAAATATATATTTTAAAGACTTAGACCAAAAGTGTAAGTTCACTGGTCATGACTATTTTTTTCCCCAAACAATCATAATCTTCAAGTTATGGTCCCTTTTTTTTGGCAACGACAATCCTAAGTTGATAATAATTTGCTTATTCACAATATCATATTCCAAAAATAAACTTGATGATTGGTCAACAACGGCATTTCAGTGATCGAGGAGATCTAAATATTCAACATTTGTTTCTGTTGAATACTTCATTTCAATTGTGACATCTAGCTATATATAGCAAAATTAAAAGATATCACATGACACATTGGGTGGTCTTCAACCTGATTAATTTAATTTCAGTAATTAAGACTATCAAACACAACACGCAAGGCTCGTGTATCTGTTAATTCCTTTTTAGTTACTTTAAGCAAACTACTCTTCTTTTGGTGCATCACTGATACTGAAACAGCGGGAGTAGTATACAATGTCTATTAGTTAAGTTTTTCAAAATCAATAGATCAATGTTTATTCTTGTCACTGAGACGTTAGCTATCATTGACCATTATAAACGTGTTGAATAGCTAAAAAAAGACAAGATATTAATTTATTTATATCCTAAGTCAGTTATATGTACTATCTAGCTCTAAGTTTTACCCGTAGCTGAATGTACTTGAATATCTTATTCATGATTTGTATTAATACTTTTTAAACCATAATTTAGTTGTTATCATTTTTTTCTTTAACAACATTATTTTAAATCTTAGAGCACCTCCATTGAGAGTTCAAATGGGGGGTTCACACGGAAACCAAAAAAATATAATAATAAAATAACAAAAATCTATGAATCTCTCTCTCTTAAAGTTCACCCGGATGAACCCCTCTCTCATAAGGTTCAACACGTGTCAGCCCGGAATTAGTCTAGGTCTTTTTTTTTCTAAAAAAAAAAAAAAAAAAAAAAAAAATTTAATAATAAAAAATTGATTCAATGAACCCCAAGAGGGGGTTCATTGATGTGGATGCTACTTTTAAAAAAGCTGATTACAAATTAGTCAGCAGTTGAGACCCACACGCTTTCATTAAGATGAGTAATTAACTCGTTAGCTTTGGCTATAGAAGAGCCAATCCACAGACACTACATGTGACAACGAGAAACCAAAAAGATATTAAATAACCATTTCCCTCTTTTAAAAATTTAAAAACTCGTTCACATTCTTTATGTGAGTTTCTGATTCTGTGTTTTGTATAATTCAAATCGGTCCATCCACACACACTATTCTCACAAAACAAGATACTTGTTGTCTTCATTAATGTCACTTCATATTGGTAGATAATTGACAACCACTCGTACTAGTATACAAAATAACAAAATAAAATCGAAGTAGAAAACGGCAACGTTCGAATGTTCAACGTCATTTGGAATCTAGTGTGAGTCCCGCCGGAAAAATAGAAGTTGAGGAACGAAGAAGTGTAGTTGATTGCGAAAAGTGAGGTTAAGAAGTCGGAGAAGAGTTGGAAACTTAAAAGAGTCATGACAAAATATATTGCGTACGTCCATGAAATTGTGTGAAGTGCTCTCCCCCAGGCTTTGATAACGACAATCAATCTTTACGTTTCGAATTCGAAGTACATTTTTAATATTAAATTACAAATTATGGAGTTCTTAAAATCCCAAGTCCCCAACCATTTCACGATTCTTTTTATTTATTTGTATATTTATACGTTCTTAATAGTTTCTTGATTCCTTTACCCTTTATACAAGGAGTCCATATACTCGAGAAGTTCCAAAATGCGCCCGTGTCGTAATAATTGGGAACCAAACGAAACAAGAGCCTAAGGGATTAGGCTATGAGTATTGGGCCGGCCCATTTAGAAGCTAACACAAGTGTTGGGTAAGATTACAGGGATACATCAATTTGAGGCCAGGCTAGTATATATTCGTTGCTCTTATTGTTATAAGTTATGATCAAACCTCATTAACATTTTATTTCGAATAACATCTCATTTACTAGTGGTGATATAGCTGAAACTGGAGTTCCTATACTGTCCCTTAGGCAAAGAAAGCGGATTCAAGAACCCGTTGAAAAGCAGATCCATTTGTGGCTATCTTGTTGAAGAAAATCAGAAACGAAATCCAAGACAAGGGTTGAACCGGATCGCTTTAATCCGGTTTGGAACAAGACATTCGATTTTGTGGTGGAAGATGTTTTGCATGATCTATTGATTATATAAGTATGAGACCATGACAAGTTTTCCAAAGGCAAGACGTTAAAACTACACATGATTACGTATGAGTCTGCAAATATAATGTGTGTGTTTTAAGGATAAAATAGGGAGAGTGATAATGACAGACATTGACATGAGTGACGTTAGAAGGAGAGTTTCAAGAGTGTAGTGAGTTAGAGCAACTCCATCGGGAGCTTCTACTACAGGTACTAAGCAGAAAAGAAAAAAAAAATAAATGAAAAAGGCAAAAAGAGCAGAGTACCGCTACTTAACGTGGGCTTTTTAGAATCAGTAAGGAACCCTTACGTGTCGGATGATAGTTGGACCTGCCTTTAATGTCTCTCTCTCTCCTCTGTGTCCCCATGACGAATGCGACGGAAAGTCTCGACCTGAATCTCTTTATCATAGAATTTGTGTTTTGTTCTTGCTTGTAGAGGGCAAGCTAGTAGAGATGATCTCTTCTGGGCTTTAGTTAATTTTTGCTTTAACCTAATTCTTCTGTATGGGTCTCTGTAATTTTATTAAAAGGCAGAATCATTTTGTATTTTCAAGCCCATATGATTGATCTTCAATGAAATTAAGTTGACAAAAGAAAAAAACAACTGCGTTTGGTATAGTTTTTTTTTTTTTTGTAAATGAACTCGTTTGGTATGGTTTAACAAGTATATATACAAAATGTGAATTCAAATTTCAGTTTTACAATCTTTCAGTTTAAAAAAAAATATACATATTTTTTTAAGAACTTCTATAGGGTCCTCCCATTGGAGGAGAAAAAATTAAATAGATTAATAGGGGTACTAAAACTTTCAAATCACAAAATTAAATACTAATTTAATCTTAAGTACTCACTAGAGGTACTAATGGATGGAGGTGGTCTTAGATGCATGGAGCTAATCAGGGGAGCTTTGTATCCATCTCAAATGGACTCCAACGCTTAAGCTCAGAGACGCCTCTTGATTCTTCTCTTGCCTCCCTCTCTCAGCACAATTACTTTACCTTTTTTTACTGTCGTTTCTTTGCATTTTTCTGTTGTATAGTGTACTGGTGACTGATGTTAGTCATCATTCTTTCCTTGCCATGCAAGAAAGTAATATAAATAAATTTTAAACATACACTTAATTTGTTTATATATTCGAAATTTTGACTGAACTGAGAGATACTCGTGTAGATTTCTGTTTTGGCCTTTTGGGGATTTTTTCAAAATCAATGAAAATCTTTTCGACTGATGATGTTTTCTTAAAGATCAATCATGTATCCTTCTTATCTTTACATACAAAACAAGAATATTCTATAATTTTTATTGAGGGATAATGCCAAATTATACTTGATTTAATTTAAACTGACGAAATCGATATATTTGAGTTGAATATACTGTAATCTATGTTTTTTTTAATACTTTTTTTGTAGATAACCATAACATAAATCTAAGTCAATCTTCAAAGCAAGAAAAAAAACGAATAAAAAGCAAAAAAAAAATATTTTGTTTGAAATCCGAACCAAATCCAACCTAAACCGTACCAAAAATAAACCTCAAGAGAGTCACGTTTAATTACTTGAAAGTCATTAAAACAAAATACTAACAATTCAATTTGCAACAAAAAAATCTGAAACCGGATTATACGCCAGTCAGTAACACACATATAAATAAATCAGTAAGCGAAGTAAATAAAAACAAAAGAGTAATATAACCTGGGAGAAACAAAACAAACCTAACTAAAATTCTCGTATTCATCCTTTCTTCTTGACCAATTCTTCTTCTTTAATCAAAAAAACAAACCCTAAATTATAGATTCCGTCTCACGCCTTTGAAGTAGAGAAGAAGAGGACATAAGTTATGGCGGATCTGACTTGTACAACACCTTTTGTGTTATATCCATTACTCGTCATCATCCTCTTCTTCTACTCCCTTAACCACCGTACCGGATTTCTATCCTCCGTCATCGACGACGAACCTTCTTGTCGTAATCTCTCATCTCCGTCTTCTCCTGAATCATCAGTTCTTTCTACCTTCAGATTCTTCCCTTTACGTTCTTCATCATCATGTCTCAACAACGTACTTCAAACTCTTCTTGTTTCTTGTTCTGTTAATTTTCTTCATGCACACGTTTAGTTTCTTTTTTTTGTGTGTTTCTTCTAGGGTTAGCTATTTTATTAATTCACTTTTTATTATTTAAACTGAAACAGTCTACGTCAGAAGATACGGTGGTAGACGAAGCGGCGGAGAGAATCGAAGAAGGTTTGGCTATGGCGAGAGCCGCCATAAAGAAAGCCGGAGAAGTGGATCTCCGTCGTCGTGGTGATCGGAGGAATAGTTCAGATTCGAGATTCGCGGCAAATGGATCTATCTATCTTAACGCTTTTACTTTTCATCAGTTAAGACCTTTTCTTTCTCCTATCTTTTGCTTTGTTTCTCTCTCTCTATATATAATATACATTACTAATTTTTGATTAAGCACATAATGTTATGAAAAAACATACAAATTAGTATATAGTTTTTATTTTAACAACATTTTTTGTAGTTTGATCACAAGGCAATTCCCTTGTTAGATTTGAATTAGTTAGCTTTTTAAAATAGCTTAAAGAAATGTTAAGCTTGATAAAAAGTGGAGATTAAACAAATAAAGGTAGCTAACAAGTAGGTGCTCAATAGATATGTACTCTCTTCCTTTTTTGTTTTCGCCAAGAACTATCACTGTTACTAGAAATATGTGTCAGCATCAAAGTTCTATATGACTTTCCATTTTTAGTAACTTAAGTTTCCAATTTTGTTTACTTATTTCTACACCATCACTAGTCTTCTCAGAATTCAAAATCAGACATACTTTAAAGAAAGTGTACTTTTTAGCTTTTAGGTTTCTCCATACCTTTTCTCTCAATCTCTCAGCAGTTTGACCTTTACAAACACAATCATTCACTTTTTTTTTCTTACTTCTATATTTAAAGTGTCAAAAGTCTTACACTATACTCTCCATTTATAGACACATAATGTATATATAACTAAACATATCAAGAGTTATGCATATGTAATGTTTTTAACTTCATTACAGGAGCCACAAAGAGATGGAGAAGAGATTTAAGATATGGGCATATAGAGAAGGAGAAGCTCCTCTGTTTCACAAAGGTCCACTCAACGATATCTACGCTATTGAAGGCCACTTCATGGACGAGATCGAGAACGGAAAAAGCCGCTTTGCCGCAGCTTCACCGGAGGAAGCAACCATGTTCTACATCCCTGTAGGGATCGTCAACATCATACGTTTTGTCTATAGGCCTTACATTACCTATTCACGTGACCGTCTCCAAAACATTGTCAAAGACTACATCTCTCTCGTCTCTGACCGTTACCCTTACTGGAACCGAAGTCACGGTGCTGACCATTTCTTCCTCTCCTGTCACGATTGGGTGAGTAGTAATCTCACATTTCTTGTAAACTGTAAAAAAAAATTAACCCTAACTTTCCTTGTTGCTCAAGGCTACTTTAAAAAAACTAACCTAATTAATTTTCCTTGTGTCTCAAGGCACCTGATGTTTCAGCGGTAGATCAAGAACTATACAAGCATTTCGTCAGAGCTCTTTGTAATGCTAATGCATCAGAGGGATTCATCCCCATGAGAGACGTTTCATTACCTGAGATCAAGATTAAATACGACAAACTAGGGCTTACACACAACGGAGAACCACCTCATAACCGCAAACTATTAGCGTTTTTCGCGGGAGGGTCTCACGGAGAAGTCAGGAAAGTACTTTTCAAACACTGGAAAGGAAAGGACAAAGACGTACTTGTCTACGAGTATCTCCCAAAGTCAATGAGCTACACGAAACTTATGGATAAAGCAAAGTTTTGTCTGTGTCCTAGCGGTTGGGAAGTGGCGAGTCCAAGAATCGTGGAGTCTCTTTACTCAGGGTGTGTTCCGGTCATCATAGCTGATTCTTACGTTCTTCCGTTTAGCGACGTGTTGAACTGGAAGATGTTTTCACTTCATATTTCTGTGGCGAAGATACCTGAGATTAAGAAGATTTTGGAAGCGATTACGGAAGAAGAGTACTTGGAGATGCAGAAGAGAGTTCTAGAGGTTAGGAAACACTTTGTGGTGAACAGACCATCGAAGCCGTATGATATGTTGCATATGATTATGCATTCTATTTGGTTACGTAGGCTTAATGTTCGTATTCCTCTTTCATAGTGATACTATATAGTTTGTTACATTCTTTAATAGATGATATACATATGAAGTTCTGACAAATGTCTGAGACTATGACTTCTTCTCGTTTGAAAAAAATAAAAGTTTACCTAAAGCGGAGAAGGTTGACAAAGTCAAGAACGCCATCATAGTGATGAGTTTTATCGAGTCAAAGTCAGCATCATCGTTACAAACTTCCAAAAACAATAAAATATTGTTTTGGAAACGTCTTTATAAAGAGGAAGAGAAGTTCATATCTTTCTAACAAATCTACTTGTCTAGACAAAGATGAGTTTATGTTCAGAGATCTCTGTACATTCACTACAAGAAAAGAGTGTCAACTCCGACAACAGTTTTCTGAGAACATGCATTATCGGAAAATTTGTTTCAACTTTACTAGAAATTGACGAGAAACTATAAATTTCATAAGAAACTTCTCGGAAATTTCTGATGAACAACCTTTGTCAGAATTTTGTCACAATATATTGTTGGAATCTTGTCGGTACCCAATTTTTTTTTTCCGAGAATTGTTTTTGTGGGAATGTCGTTGGTATTCTCTCGGGGAATACCGAGGACAACGAAGTCTCTAAAATTTGTCGGAAAATTTAACTGAAAATCGCCGGAAGAGTTGTTTCGTACACGTGTTACCGCTGCAATAGTTTCCGATAAGACATCGACAACTACCGGCCTCAATAGTTTCTCGGTATGTGATCTTTCAAGTTAATTTTCATTTCTTAAATCAGCCAATCTCCCCCACTAAAAAATCCACTTTTGTAGATCTCACCATATTCATCTAATCTTCTCAAAGACATTTTCAACCACGCCTCTCTATTCCTTTCAGCCGACGAAAGTATCTTTTTAAGTCTCTTATGCTTTATATTCTTATTATATGATGGTTAGATGTTGTTACTTATTGAAATAAACTAGTATTTGTTTGGCAGATCTTGTGAATTTTGCCTTGTTTGTTGTGGGATGAGAACGGCGACTCTGGTGTGTGGTCTAACAGAATCGATGCGGTGAGGGGTATCAAATTTTGCGACTCTGGTTGTCTTGCTCACTTTCGTCTCCTCTGCTGTTGTCAATTCTTCTTCTCAACCAGATTGTAAGCAAGTTTGATACCTGCCACGGCTAGTTCTTCACTGCATCTTGGTGGCAGACACAACTTTCCAAAGACTGAAGACGTCTTGTTCGGCGGCGTGATGGCTAGGGTTGTGCTGTATCCGGTTTCTATCGGTTTTCTTATCTAACTTTGTTTTTATGTAAACCACTTATAATCTCTCCGGTTAGGGTTGGGTATTGATATTAATACATATTATTTTAAAATACTACTATATTGTGTGACTAGACTCGGCGCATGAAACTAAACCGGTGGTTTTGTTGAACTAAACTCCAGCTCCGGTTTTTGAATAAAAGTTTTAGTTTTTTTTAAAAAATTTTTTTACTGAATTTGTCGATAATTTATCGGAAAGTACCGACAACATTAAGACAATACTGTTTATCGTCAAATGTTATCGGAAGTATCTCGGTTGTTTCCGACGATCGTTTCTTAGAATATTTCGAGAAAGACAAATTCGTCGGTAATTTTCCGACAAAATAACCATAATCATTGTTTCCGAGGCTCAAACGCCGACTAATTGTTGGTCATCGGAAATTCAACGGGTTTTATGGATTCCGATAATGTTGCGAGGTATTTTGCTGTCGGTATATAGATTTATTCTTGTAGTGATTCTGTTCCTATTTGGAACAGAGCATGTTCTGTTTATAATGGTGACGACCAAGACTCTGTTTTACTCTACCCTGAGCTTCTTTTCTCTCCATTGAACAAGTCTCTTGCCATGAAAGCCTTTGATTCGTCTGATGTTGTCTCTGTTAGAGAATACAAAGTTAAAGATAGTCTCTCCTCCACTCTTCAGAGCATTTTTGATAAGTATGGTGACATTGCATCAGAGTCCAAGCTCCAATCTCTTTCCACACGGACATACCATCTTGAGATGCTAGCTGAGGTTGTTGCTGAGCTTCAGTCAACGCCTCTGCGTCGGCTGTCTGAATCAAGAGCCAAAGAGATTCTAGAGATCGTCAAGGACATAGAGACAGCAAAGATCCGAGTAAGTTGGCTCCGGTCTTTTCTTGAGGAAGTTGTTGAGGCAACCAGGTTTATAAAAAGACACGATACTGTAGCTGGAGACAAAGAGGCGTGCGAACAAGGTTTGGTGCTTGCGAAGCAAGACATGGAGTTGAGCTTAAAGAAGCTTGCAGACAAGGAAAAAGAGACGAGGGAGTTTCGGGAGAGGTTGATGAAGACAACAGGGAAACTGGGGTCTTTGGAGATGAAGCGGTCGTGTCTCGACAAGAGATTCGAGTTTTTGAGATCAAAGGTCGAAAAGTTTCAGGATCAATCTGTTTTTATGGACATTTTATGAACATTTTGAAAAGAACATGTAAAGTCAAGAAATTCTACGGTTATATAGATCCTCACAATGTATGGGATGGGATGAATATTAACAGTGAAATATCACACTTAAAAGATAATGTTCGATTCACTACATCAAAGCAAATAGCAGGTACATGAAAAAGTACATAAACACACATTTTACACAATGCATTATCACAGATTACAAAACTTAAGCAGAGACTGATGAATTCCAAAGAAGGGAAAGGTGAAGAAGAAGAAGAAGAAGAGAATATATTCTTACTTGAAACAAGAAGGAAGACTTGGCCCGTGACAAACAAAGGCCATTGCGACGTATACAACCACTGCGAGTATAAGTATCAGTGCAATCCTGCAGAAAAGAAAAAACAAGCTCGTAAGCCAAGAGAACCAACAACAAGAACTCTAAACTATATATTATATAACCAGCTCCACAGGAAAACTTACGTAAGCTTGACATTTCTCCACCACATGACGGTTCTAAAACGGCGAGCTTGCTTTCTGAAACGAAAAGTGTTCCCTTGCATGTTCGCAGTTTTATCAACAAGCAACTCCAAACGCTCCCCTCTATCCAAGACTTTATCGATATTCTCAATCATCACGTTTCTAACCTGAAAATGAGACCCAAAACACTCGGAAAGTTAACAATAGTGCCAAAGCCCAAATGCCCACTCCACAAAGACTCCAGCAACTCGTCAATAAAGAGAAATCTCAAGATAAACAGAAGAAAATCTTTTTGATTTGATGTAATATCACGAGTAAGAAGAGAGTTATGAGCAAATTTACCTGAGTCATTTCACCTTTGATTCTGCTAACCCTGTCAGCATTAGGATCATTGGAATAGTATTCCATCTGCTGACTCAAAACCCTTGAAAACTCATCGTTCATAGAGTAAGCTTGAGCAGAGTGAATCGCGCGGCCGTATGTTCTCACAAACCTCTGATGAATCTCTTCCAGAAACGCAAACGGAACACTCCCTACGCATATATATATACAAGTTAAACCTCCTTCACAGCAATAAGAAAATCCATAAGTTTAAGCATTAATATCCCCCAAAACTTCGTTCACAGTTAAAGAGTTCGCAATGAAAACAAACCAAATCTGTTAGGCTTTCCAACTAAAAACCAAATTCGTGATAAGTGGATTGACGCTAACCTTTTATATATTAATTAAGGTCCAATTGAATTCCCGATGTGGGATAATTAACAAAATCAAACTCTCATACACAAACAAAGGTCCATCACAAAAATTATCAGATACTCTCTCCGTTTCACTTTATTTGTCATTCTACGTTTTGACACACAAATTAATGAAACATTTAATTTTACATATTTTCAAGATAAAAACAATTAACAATATACCTAACCATTTTTCAAATTAATAGAAAAATAGAATATCATAAACTAATAAATTTTGTCCCCAAACTCTAAAACTACACTTATTTTGAAATGAAATTTTTTCTCTAAAATGGCAACTAATTCAAAAGGGAGGGAATATATAACTTCCAAATCCCTAGAACTGAGCTTCCACATATCCGCAAAATTGATAGCAAATTACAAAATCTAATCTAAAAAATGAAGTAAAAATTTGAGAATTAGGGAGAGATGATTATTGGAGTTTACTTCCGGAGTTTTCATCGGCCATACAGAGCACAGTAAGGCCATCGGTACGCTTAACGTGGAAGACGTACCGATCCTGAGAGTAAGACACGTGGCTATCCACATCTTCGCCAGGCAGCTTCTCCAAAATCTGCTTCGCGATTGAGCTCGCGTTGGTAGAAGTAGCGCTGAACTCCGATAACACCACCGATCCACGAGCCAACAGCGCATATAAGATCGCCATCTACTCCGCCAACACTTTCTAGAGACCTCAAATATCTCTCTCTGGTCACAAAACTGACTGCAAAATCCCAAACACCGACTCGCGAATCAAAGTATCTTCTCCGTCCTTTGGGAATTAACAATGATTTTAGAGAGATAATAAAAGTCTTATCTCAAGCCCGCTTACACTGACCACTTTTTTGAATTTTGAATATTTTAGGCGCATCAACATATCTGGCCTTATTTTGAATATATTGGGCTTGTAGCCCAATACCACTTACTATTCACAGTTATTATTTCTTGTTTTTTTTTTTTGAAAGTATGATTTTTCTTCACAAGTTAATATTTCATGATTTTCTGTATAGTATAATACTAGGTGTTTTGCCCGCATTTGCGGGCCTAAACATTTTATAATTATTTTATTAATACATCTTTTACTAATTGAAAGATTATAATGATAAAATATTAATTGTGTTTTATTTTTTGAAGCCAATAATATTTATACTTTCATTTAACAATTCTTACATATATTTCTTTGCAATTTATGTTCATTCTTAAGAATAATTTTAAATTCAAATAATATTTTTCAGTTATATAAAATTAAGAAGTTGACTTGATTAGGTGTTTTATCCGCATTTGCGGGCCTAAACATTTTATAATTATTTTATTAATACGTCTTTTACTAACTGAAAGATTATAATGATAAAATATTAATTGTATTTTATTTTTGAAACCAATAATATTTATACTTTCATTTAACAATTCTTACATATATTTCTTTGCAATTTATGTTCATTCTTAAAAATAATTTTAAAATCAAATAATATTTTTCGGTTATATAAAATTAAGAAGTTGACTTGATTTATATTCAGTCATGTATTTTCTATTGTTTTAAAATATTTATTTTCAGATAACATCACAATATATATCGGAATTATCTTATTTAAAAAGATATTATTTAGATTTTGGATAATTCTTATGATTATTATTAATTTTAGTTACTTATCTAATTAAAATAATTTAAATTCGTTTTTATTTTGTATGTAATTTATATATTATTTTCATTAAGGGTATAAATGATATTAACCACTTTAACTTTTAACGTGGGAGCTCCGTTACAAAAAATTACTTCGCAAATAATAGTATAGATGCAGTGGACACAAAATATACGCTACTCAGTTGTTTTTTTTTTTTCAACCGTCCATCTAAACTAGATCAAGTGGTGGTCAGGCGAGCCGATTTATAAAATCACCTTTTAGTGTATATCTTATAAAAAATTATTATGGAGGTTTTGATTATATACACTGTTATAGCCTATAGGTAACAAAAAATATGAAATATTTTGCATGACTATCATAAAATAATTGAGAAGATGTCAAGAAAATGTGAATTACTCTTATTTCATACATTTTTGTTTAAAATATGGAAATTTGTCAATGGAAATATAGATGCTAACTTTCATGGCCTGAGGCTTAGTCTATAAGGGCATCAACTATCAAACCATTATTGTATACATCATTAAGTCATATAGGTTCTATAATGCAGTAATGCACTATAAATAAAAACTTAGTTTTTAGTTAAACATATATTGATTATAAAGTTAAAAAAAAATGTTTTATCATAAGGATTAAAAATTTATTTTCATAGGAAACAAAATATATAAAATAAAGGATAATTTGTTTAAAATTAAAGTTTAATTAAGTCTTTATTCATTACGCATTTTTCAATATTAATAACCATCCCATATATATTTTAGATATTTAAAATATACCAAATTTTGATAATTAAACATGATTTATGTTTATATAACATGATCATACTATTATATATATTAAAGATAAAATATATGTTTAACAAAATCTCTAGTATTATTAATGGTAAGATATCTAATGACTAGAGACTCCTTAGATATCCCACTAAAGATGCCTTTTAAACACTTGATGATATCTGAACAAAAAAACACTTGATGACAATGTATTAATGATTTAATGCCTAAATTAATGTATCCACTGATCATTAAGATAAGTAATTGACAAATTAAATCTTCTGATTTGTTTCCTCTTTCAAAATTTATACTCCGAACCAAATAAAACTAGCATCAAAAAAATTATTATATCTTTCATTTTTTGTTCAGAAAATTAACAATAAATCAGACAAACCAAATAACAATAATAATACGAAACTAAAAAAATATCCAAATAACGTTTAGAGAAAAAAAAAATCACAACACGGCTATGTCTTCTGTAACGCAATTCTCCGTTATCACAGTTGCTGATAACGTCAGTTTGTCCACTGTTACTTTGCAGTCCACAGTAACAACCATCCTCCACATGGTCACGGCGCTAACCTTAAACTTAAACGGCGCTTTAACCCTCAAATCAAACGGCACTTTTCCTTTATTCTCAGCTTCCTTCAAATCTTCCCGCGTCGAGCTCGCTAACTCGATCACTGTTCCCCTTAACGTCGTCACCGTCTCCGTTACCTTATCTGCCGGCTGATAAAACGGCGTTAACTCGCCGTCACCTAGTTTGACTGCGTCGTAGAAAATCTCCACCGCACTTCCTCCGCCGTATATCAAACCGAGAAACGTGTTAACGTCCTTAGCACGCAAGTTGATTTTGATTAACGGAGATATTAGTGACGTTGACGACGTTAGATTCATTCCGGCGATGGAGACTCCACTCACGGAGAACATCGGCTTATGTGGTCGGAAAACGAGGAAGAAGATCCCCACAAGAACCGCCGCGAGTGTGACGAGAACGAGTAGAGCAACAAAGAAGTAGCAGAAACACCGGCGATAAGATAATCGGTTAAGATTCCTGCGAGAGAGATCCTCGTAACGGCGAGCGTTCTCAGGCGGAGGGATACCAGATGTTGTTGTCATTGGTGTTGGTGGTGGTGGTGGTGGTGGTGGTGGTTTCGGTCTCTGAGAGTCAACGGAGCTTCTAGAAGATCTTGAGATGTTGTTGTCGTTAGTGTCAATGGAGTGTTTTTTTGGTGGGGACCGTTGGTTGCTGCTAGCGTCGTCGGCCATGATCAGATTAGAGGAGGAACACTAGAAACAAATTTTGATTAGAATGAGAGATAGAGTTGTGATTATATATGAGAAGTGATTGCAAATGATAAGGAAAGTATGAAGCAAGATTTATGATGGATGATAAACTCGAGTTGTCATTCCATGTTTTGAAGACTATAGTCTATAGTCACAAACTAGAGAAACAAAAAAGGATGGAAAGTATATGTAGCCATAAATATAGAGGAAACGAAAATCTACTAGGGAATAAGGCCAAATCATATATATATATATATATATATATATATATATATATATATATATATATATATATATATATATATATATTAATTTTAAATCATTTTTGAAAATTGGTACATGAAAATTTGTTTTAATTATGTAATGATTTTGTAAACTTGTTTTGATATCTATAAAATTATTTAGCTAGCAAAAAAATATATGATAAAATCAAATCAGAAGTTTAATTTTTGTTGTAAGTAATAAAAATAATATAAAAACTGGTATGTTTTATTTCATGAGATGAATCATTTATATAATAATACATTAGCTTGGAGATAAAGTTTAACTTAAACAATAAGTAAAACTTGGAGAATAAGTATTTCTATAACTTTTCAAATGGATCTCATTGCAATATTCATAACACTTAGCATAAATAGTAATAAGAAAAACACAAATGGTGATAAATTATATGATAATGGAAACTCATTTAATATACAATCATATTAAAATATACTAATATATCTATGTTAATTTCTTTCAAAATTAATTATATACCATACAAAATAGATAAAAATGATTGTTTAGATTTATTTATTACGAATTGATTGTAAATAAGCAAGAGTGATTCTTTTGATTTATGTGTTTCTGTTAATTATATACGTAATAGTTAACAGTTTCTCGATTATTTGCTATATATTTATTTTGTTACTTTATAATAGTGTTAATAAGAAATAGTTATAAATGTGTATTTCACAGGCAAAGGCATTTTTCTTTCTAAAGCAATTTTATAAAACGATCATGCTTTAGTTTTAAAAAATAAACTACGTCAAAAAGGTAGAAAAAAATATATTAGCTTTCAAAACAATTTTTACAAATTTTATTAGGTTATTTGAAATAGATCAACACTAAAAAGAATTAAAACCAAAGCAAAAACTGACAGTCTATTTTCTAAAGAAAAAAAACCAAACTTACATCACCAACCAATCAATTATAATACGCAAAAACATAATATAGTTAATAATATGTAAAATCTCTATAATATTATTTGAGAAGTCAGTTTCCTACGTGTCGTGCTCACGTTAACTCTCGCGATGGTTGATTACATAGATACCCTTAACGAATTGTTAGATTTTAAGATTATTCTTAATATTTTCAATGTAATTTATTTTTTACTTTTTTTTCCAAATAACATATATAATAAAAAGGAAATATTTCTAAAATTTTATAATAAATTTAAAAACGAAATTATATGTAGATAATATGATTTTATTAAAAAGGAAAGTTCACAAAATAGTAATATCCCCATTAATATCTATTTTTAAATAACATAAATATAATTTCAAAATAATAAAAATATATATGTTCATGAACATGCAAAAATTTATTAGTTACACTTTATTTTCTAATATTTTTTAGAAATAAACATATAATTTGATAAATATTATGAAAATTTAATTTGATTTGACTTAACTAAAATAAAGAGTAAATAAATATTATGAAAATAAATGTATAGTCAAGTGATACATAAAACTTATTTGATTTAACTTAACTAAAATAAAAAGTAATTATACTTCAGTTTTAATTTAAAAATATATTTAACTCAATATACTCACAAAATGAATGACTCGACTAATCTAATTTATATCCAAAATTAAACATCTATCTACGATAAGAACATATAATTTATTTAATTTTATACATATAAATTAGAGGTTGACTCAAAGCATATTAAAAATAAAAATAAAATATTAACCAATTACAATTTAATTCTTTTTTAGAATTTATATATATGCATGAGACTTCAAAATATTATCATTATATTCATTTATGTAATTCTGAATTAAACACTTCAGTTTATTATTTATTTCATTTTAAGTACAATATATATTAAGTTATACATAATTTAACCATAGTATATTTACATATCTAAGACAATAATCAACCGAAATGAAAATAAGAAAATTAATCAAAGTTTTATTATATTTACAATAAAAATATTATAGCTGAACTAAAAAAATAGATATTATCCAATATACCAAATTGGTAACTAAATCGACTATTGATCCAAAAAATAATTAAATCGACAATAATATATCCAAAGTCATATGTATAATTAAAATAATATAATATTTATCAATATAAATTATATATATAGATTCAAAACTAAAACTAAATATCAATCAATTATTAAAAAAAATTACTTTTATGAATATTCATATCCGTGCATGAGCACGGGAAAATCACCTAGTTAGTTTATATATACACTGTTTATTTTGCGCAAAGCGTAAGCCTAAAACTATTTTCTCTTATAAAACATGAACAGATGAATGTATTACAAAAAAAGATGGACCATTCTGAATAGCTTCTACTCATAAATTCCACACTAAACAATACACGTGATAATAGAAGACATCTCATACTTTACTTTGGTCAAAAGTAAAAATAGGCTCTTCGGATAAAGAATGAGGTCTTTGAATTATAAAACCTAACCTTCCCATGGCTTTAACAAACCATATAATAGTATGTACAAATAAAACAAATATTATCAAACATCTATATTATAAAATAATATATTATTTTATGTATGTAAATTACAAAATATAAAATATATATATGAATTTTTTTATAAAATCAGCAGTTTATAAATTTATGTTGAACACAAGTTCAAGTAATTTTTGGTGAGTACAAAAACTGGTTACAAATTTCTTATGTAACAATTGTTCAGCTAGCAGTACTGGTTTTTATGTGAAAAATAGTAAAATACTTAAGAAGAGAAGCAATTACACACAAATACTATTATCAGAGCCGGTCTATAAAAAAAGTCATCGCTCACGTCATATAGTCCGAGATAGAATAATAAATTTATTAATAAAAGTTATATCAATGATACTGATGTTTTCTGGAAAGGAAATATATTAGAGTTATCTTTTACATGTTAAAGAAGTATATTAAATTAGTGAACCTGTGTAATTAATTGTACATGTTCTAGAAATAAAACTTTGATATGGAAAGATTATCTTCTATTCTAGTTTTGGAAAATTTTAGAACACAATGGCTTGGGTGAAACAAGACATATTTGTTGTAGCCCATTATCTTTTGTCCCAAAAAAAGTCTAAGCGACTATTGCAAGCTGGCCCATATACTGGTAGACATAGGCTCAAGCTCAAAAGAGTATTGATGGAAACTCAACAGCATTGACCATATAATTCTCCTTTTCTTGATATGTAGGACCTTGGTGGTTGGGTGTACATTTTAATTTAGGTTAGATGAAGATTAGTTACGGTTAAATAGTTCGGACCAGAAGCCATTTAATGGATCCGTACTGATATTAAAGAAAAAGTTGATTAGTTTAAAAGTATGAGTTAGAGTTTGGGATCCACCATCCTTGCTATAATCTTACGGTGTCATTATTTATTAATTCATCACAAAATATCGCAAGAAAAAATAGAAAATAAATATCTGGAGTATCAACAAATTCTGAACTAATTCCAAGTTCACAATGAAGATGTTGTTACATAAACCAAAACTTTGATTCTTCTGAGCGTTTTTTTTTTCCATTTATTACTTAGTCCGTTTCACTTTATCTTTTTTTTTCTGGACAACCCATTTCACTTAAACTATGATAGCTCTACATTTGCTCCATTATTATTGGAGGTATCGTATCAACAAAAGTCCAAAGAGAAAATAAAACATCATTCAGTTCTACTACTTCAATAGAATATCAGTAATCAAGTATGACAATCTACTTTTGTATTGTTAGTTACGGTTATAATTAAGGACCATAAGCTATATTTTTGTTCAAAAAAAAAGTTATATTTTTGCTCATCTTATATATTAAAACAGAAGTCATGACTTGACTTCATGTGTGATTTTTTCTTAAAAATGGACTATTACTAGAAAGTCATGTTACATTAATTCTCTAATAATCTTATCATTATTATATCTTATGAAAAATCATATCTATAATAACAAAGATACGCTTAATAATTTGGTTTTGGTAAATTATCCCACACCTTCCAACTTAGTCACGCAAAATATGTCAATAGATATAAGTTTAGGAATCTTCTATTATTTATAAGGAAATATGTCAATAATAGTTAAATGCATCAACAATATATAAACAAAAATCACAGATTCGTAATATGGAATCTTTATATACCCTAACAAAATTTACATGCTATATATACTAGAAAATTTTATTTCGATGTAAATTTTAAAAATTATATTGTTTTAAAAAAAATAAATTGTTTTAAAATTTTTTTTTAATAAAATTATTTATAATATTAATTTATAAAGCTATAAATTTAGTTTTTAGCAAAAATATTTTTGATGTTTATATTATCTTTGCAAATTAAAGTATACTAATATTTAATCAAACTATATTTATATTACTTTATCTAAAAATGAAATATTAATCTAACAAACAATAAAATATAGAAGAAGAAACAAACACATGTTTGAAAAACATGTATAATATAGAAAATTTGAAACAATCTATTTGATTAAAATACGTATTATATAATATTATTATGTTTGAAAAGCATTTACTATACATATCGTAAATATGTGATTACTATAATATATACCAATTTACAAATGAAAACAAAATGTTTATATAACTAACTATAAACAAAAATAAACACCCGCGCGGTTGCGCGGGTCAAAATCTAGTATAGATTAAATCTGGTCAAACAGAAGTGTTTTTCGGAGAATCGATTCGTCTTACTACCATTTGATTTAGTATAGATGGACGAATAACCAAAACAAAGTAAAAAAATATAATAATAACCATACAAAAGTAAAATATCCTCTTCATTAGCTTTGTCGATAGTTTGAAACCCATTTTTAAAATTATCATCACTATTTTATTTCATTTTTTCAGTAAAGTCTTTCGGACCGTTCTTTGTCCTTCCAAACCAAATGCCAGAACAGATTAACTGATATACTCTCTACCAGTGATATTCGAACCTAATAACTATTTATTGAAAAGTATTTAATACCAATATAGCTATTGGAGTTTGCTTACTCTTCGCAGAATATATTAACGAGTGTGAACTTTTCAACTGCTCACTCTATATTTTTTTTACTTGTACTGATAAATACTTTAGTAAATCATGAACTACGAATTTCATCAGAATTATGTCTATATTGAACCAAAAAACGAATCTCTGGACCAGTGCCTGTCCAAAACGTTCAAATGCCCTAAATTTGCTTTAATAAATATTTAAATATTTTTTTCTGATATCATATATAATTAAATATAATAAAAAATATCACATATTTTCTAATTAATTGAACACCATTAATAATTGTTAAAGATCGTTCATTAATTTAATTTTATAGCAATATTTGCTAATTTTATCTTCAATATTTTGAGTATTCAATCATAATTTAATAGAACTAATTGTTAATACAAAATCTCATATTTAAAAATATTAATATTTTACTTAGATTTTATTATTTCTATTTATATTTTATATAATTATTAAAGTGTATATGTAAACATAATTTATTTTTATAATAATATATAATAATACCAGGGTCCCATTATACTATTTGTAAAAACATAGTATTGTTTCTATAACTTTTATTAATTCATATATTAAGCTATCTCGTACTATCTTCCCCAAATGAAGGTTTATGTGGCTTGTCATCTGGGCCAGATTTGCTCTCTACATATATGATTATAATACGTGTATTGATTACTGTGTTTTATGAGAAGGCAACATATTAGGTTACTTTTTTTGACTAAGATAGGTTATTCTTTTACGAAAAGAAAAAAAAACACAATACATTTGGTCTCATAGTAACAAATTGTGAATAGGATGGTTTACACAAATAAGAACTGAGCGGATAACTACATTTCTGTTTCAGTACTATTGACCTTTGAAAAATTATTTAAGACTTAACGTGTATTAAAGCGAGATTGTTGAACCCAAAAAATAAACACTTTGATATTCTCGTTTTAAACAGTTGATAGGTTATATAGATGATGATTAGTTGGGGTGTAAGCGGTGATTTTAATTTTAATTTGTATCTATAACTATATAAATTACCAATTATGATTTAAATAGTTTTTAAAGTACAATTAATATAAAGAAAAAGTTAGAAAATCTTTTTAAAAAAGTAAAATATTAATGTAAAATTAATATAGAATTATTTTCTATTTTTATATATATATTTTTTAAATTTCTACACATACACTAAATACAGTTACATCAAATAATTTTAAGATTATTATACAATAAAATTTTTACATCTATAATCTAAAGAATCACCCTTAGCATTATCATTTTAAAGTGTAAAATAAAATAAAAAGTGGAGTAGTCATTTGTTGTGCACACGTGTGGATCAATTACTGGCACTTCCTTATTAACTACTTCAATTATAGTCAACCAATACAAGACTCGAACATAAATGCAAATGTTGGTTAATACATTTAATTTAGCATAAATTCTAAGAGCATGCCCAACTGTTGAAACTCTAATTTTAGTATCTCTGACACCATTTATTATTTATTTTATATATTTTTGTTTAAGAATTTCTTTATATCTAAAAACAAGTATAAAATAAATGATAAGTAGAGACATGACAAATAAAATTTCGAACAATTGTCAAAATTTGTATGCAGAAATATCATATATCTTTCTCTTATTTACTTTTTCTTTTTATATATTAAATTTTGGATGACATAAATAGTCACATATCTCTATTGGAGGTGTTCTAAAAGTTCGTGGTCTATTGTGGATTTAACCTTAAATGTATGCTGAAATATCTATGCTATTCGCCACCAGATCCATCGATATATTTTTAGATATATCATACAAATGGTTGTAAATTTTGAAAATTTCATTTGAATTAAAGTAAAAGATAAACAATTGGTGCACTGGGATAGAGTCATTTTCGGTTCTGTCTTCCAACAAAAACTTGGTTTAGTTGTATGGGTAGTAGACAAAAAAAGGAAAAAAAAGATAGGTTATAAACCTCAGTGATCAATTGAAAATTTTACTTGTTATTAATATACATGTGGTCAAATGAAAAGGCTCGACTGCTGTAACGGTTGTGGACATTTGCTGATGAGGATATTATTAACAGTTTTAAATATTATTAAGAGATTTACACAGCTATAGGGATTTGAAATTGGTGCGTTAGTGGAATATTTATAACTGGTTAACAATTAAATACATTAGTGATTAAATAATAAATTAATAATGTTAACATGTTATTTAATCATAAAATTAATAAAAACATATTATCATAGTATTATTTTTTAAAAATGTTTTATAATAAAATTTAAAATATAATATCTATATATTAGTAATTTTATTATTTCAATTTGAAATTTTAGCTAAAAATATTATTTTATATTTATACAATCACTAAAAGAAATTATTCTCTCTTCCGCAACCACAAATGCTAACTGAAATCAACTTTTGATTTTGAAAGATTTAGAATAATGTAAAAGCATTTTTGTGATCATTGCAAAACGTCAAACAACTCTTACTATAGCGGCAAAAACAGTCAAGCCTAATACCATGATTAATCCAGGTTCTTATGATGAGATTCTTATCTTCCATCAAGATTCGTTTCTTAGCTTAACTAAGAAAATTTAAGAACCGTCTCTTAAATAAAAGATATAAAAATTGGTTATTAGCCGAAAAACATAAAAAAAAAACTAAAAATAAAGTGTCAAATCATAAATTAAAAAATCCGAATTAATTAGAACCCGGGTTAATCATGTCCATTTTTTGCTTTTAAAGTTCTAAAGTAGTATGGTTTCAACCAATGTACTCGACCAATCACCTTTATACATGTACAGCGCTAGCTATGATAATTTGTTTGTGGGTATTAAAACTTAGGCATGAGTCCATGTATGGCATGAAAGCTACGTTAGAGATTTACAAAAAAAGAAAAAAAACTACGTTAGAGAAATGAAAATACACAAGTCGTGTCTAAAGTAGAGTCATTCAAATAAAGTAAGGAAGTTGTGTTGATAAATGAATCATTCGTTCCGACTGGTGACGTGTAGTATTACAATTGAATTAGAATATGATTTGTAGTTCGATATAGTTTGCAGTAAAAGTTATGTGGTAAAAATGGTAAGTTTATATGGTAAATTCGCAGTAAAAATAAAAATTATCATTTTATTAAAATTTATGACTGGTAACATTTTTGATATATAAACTGCAGTATAGATTCTAAATAAATAAATTAAATATTATAAACATATAAACAGTAAACTTTTATTAAAAATAAACCATTAAGATGTTTTTAAAATAAAAATATATTTTAGATAATTATAAAATTTGAAAATTAATTTTCAATATATATTAATTTACAAATATTTTAATCAAATAGTAAAATATTTATTATACAAAATAAAGCATTAAGCTGACACTATTTATTCTAATATAAATAAAAAGTAAATAAAATGAATAACAATAATAATGGCATAAAATAATTTTTTTTAAAAATACAATAATAGCAAAAGAAGTTAAAGTTATTGGTTTTTGCAAGTGAAAAAGGAAAATATTTTTTTGCAATCAAAGAACCAGATTTTAAATTTTTGGGTTTGGAAAGTGATATGATACCACCACACTCACGTTTTCCTTATTTTTTCTTTTAGAAAAAATTAAACAAATTTGTAACTCAACTTGTAAAACATGGAATTTTGATTGATGTAAGTTTATGATTTGAGTTATCAATTTTATAAAGGGACTAACTCCAAGTTATAACTCAACTACAATACAATTTAAAGCAAACTTAAAATCAGAAAATTGAATTTGATGCATGATTGGTAACATTTTTGAGTTAAAAGCCTAACTCAAACTTAATCAAATGTAACTCATGTCACCAATCAAAGTTATCTACTGATGATGTTACGGAGGCTTGAGCGACAAATAACGTGGGCTCAAACATCTTGATTATATATCATGGAAGAAAAGAAATGTCAATTTACAAATAAAAGAGAAAATTCAACGTGAATTAGGTCTATATATAAATAGTTAGTTGGAGACATAAAACAGTAACATCAGACGATAATCAGTCTGATCGGTCTACATTTCTCTTTTGGTTGTTCGAGTTCTTAGAGACAAAACTAATAAAAACCCTAAAAAATTGAAGGAAGATTAAAAAATGGTACATTCGAGAAAGTTCCGAGGTGTTCGCCAACGGCAGTGGGGTTCTTGGGTCTCTGAGATTCGCCATCCTCTACTGTAAGTTTAGTGTCTATTTATATATAATGCATATACATACTAAATATGTATTTCCGTTCTCATCAAAATTAATTTCTCGGTTATAAGATCATTTTTAGGTTAAATACATGATGAAAACAAATCATGCTGATCGAGGTTGTAGACTGATCAGTTTCATCTACCTTATTGTAAACGTTTTTATGTGAATTTTCTTATAATTGAAAATGTCTACTTTCTAAATAGAAACTAGAATGAAGATAAGTAAACACTAACGTTTATCATTCCAAGCTTGATATATATCACTAAAATTCCGTCTGAAATTTCTATGTTTTCTTGTAGTGTTTGTATTAACAAGTGATGTATTTATATGCAGAAAGAGAAGAGTGTGGCTTGGAACATTCGAAACAGCAGAAGCCGCTGCAAGGGCATACGACCAAGCATCTCTTCTAATGAACGGCCAAAACGCTAAGACCAATTTCCCTGTCGTTAAATCTGAGCAACAAGGCTCAGATAACGTTCACGACGTTAACTCTCAGTTGATGTCGCCAAAGTCTTTATCTGAGCTCTTGAACGCTAAGCTAAGGAAGAGCTGCAAAGACTTGACACCGTCTTTGACGTGTCTCCGTCTCGACACAGACAGTTCCCACATCGGAGTCTGGCAGAAACGGGCCGGGTCGAAAACAAGTCCCAACTGGGTCATGCGTCTCGAACTCGGGAACGTAGTCAACGAAAGTGGGCATGTTTTGGGGTTGACGACTACGATGAAGAAACAAGACGTGGAGAAAGAAGAAGAAACTAATGTTGATGAAGATCAGTTAGCTATGGAAATGATCGAGGAATTGTTGAACTGGAGTTGAGTTTTACCTTAAGAGATGGAAGTCTAAAGAGGAATAATGTGGTTTTTTCACAAGCTTGATTTTCGTTTTTTTTTATATTTTCTTTCAACAGTTTATAGTGTGATTACCATGGATCTATCAATCCATTATACATGTAAGAAAATTGTTCAGAAATACATGTAAAAATGTATATACACACACACGGGGTTGGTGTATATACAAATTTGGGTCCATATCAATATATGTTTTTCAGTTTTTCTATCACTGGATGAATGAATCTAAGTTTACTGTAATTAGTACTAAACAGCAGGTTTTTTGTTTCTTTTAGGGCTTCTTTGAAACAGTCAGATTCAGTGTACAGCTAGACTTAATATTTGCAATCATTTCTAAAACTTAGTAAGTACGTCGATTTAAACTTTTATACTATCTTTATACTGACTCTAAAACCTCAAATGTATGCAACTTTTAGAGACAGTCACACAGTCAACAATAATCAGTATGCACGGGTTCCCAAGAATGCACGAACCAGTACATCTTGGTTAAAAGACTATAGATCTTGTGATGCACAAAGCATTATAAATATTATACACAAACATGAGATGTTTTAACGGTACAATCTAGAGAGCAACTCAATCTCCTTCACGGAAGAGTTATAAAACGGTCTAAAATGATTTTTTTTTTTGTCCACAAAGAAAACGGCTAGAATACAAATTTAGAGGTGATGATGACTGATGATTGCAAAGCTCCATGACGCCTGTTATAACCTGAAGTTCCTCCGATGCTACTTTAAGAGGGCACTGAATAAAGAATAACACGAAACAACATCAGATGACACAACATGAGGCAGACAAACTTTCCACTGATTTTGGAGAACTCGTTAAGAATAAGGATAAGACAGCTTACTGTAAGTGGAAGTATCAATCTGCTCAGGAAGCTCCTTTATATCAACCTCAAATCTAGCTTGCACCTGTAAACATAAGAAATTCCAACTTCATTTTAAATACCCCAACTCATATAAATAAGAAGTAAGACAGTACACGTATAAAGAAGATTAAACTCAAGACCTGATTAAGAACTTCAGAATCTGAAGCTGATGCCACAAATGTGATCGCGAGACCCTTTGTTCCAAACCTACCGGCTCTCCCGACCTATACCATAAACAGAATGTAACAGTAATGTTACAAGAGTCCTTTGTCCAGTGAGAATACGGATAATCAAAAAGAGATTTCAGGATTTTATTTTCTAATTAAGAATGCTTACCCTGTGAAGATATGTATCAGCAGAATCTGGCATGTCGTAATTGATAACAATGTTGACACGCTCAATGTCAATACCTCTCCCTACCAGGTCTGTCGCCACAAGAATTCTCTTGTGGCCTTCCTTGAAACTTTTGTAGTGAGTCAGCCTACAAATCATACCATTGTGAAGGGTTAAGAATTTGTCACCATGCAGAGAGGCTACAAGAGCAACTCGGGTTAGTTCAAAAGAAATAAATACAAACCTCTCTTCCTGAGACATTCCAGAGTGAATGCATATTGAAGGAAAATTGCATTCAATAAGCAACTTGTTTAGCTCCCCAGCCCTGCTAACACTCTTCACAAATATGACAACTTGATTGAAGTCCAATGCGTCCAGAAGGTCATTCAACTTGCGGTTTTTCTCCGTCTCGCTCAGTTTGATGTAGTGCTGTAGCAACGACATGACACAGAAACAATCGAACGCTCAAAAAAATTAATATAGATCAACCAAATACGTAAGGAAATAAGACATCATAAGTTCATTTACCTGGACAAGCCCATGAAGAGTCAATTTGGCTTCATCATCAACATATATTTCCATTGGCTGAAAGGAACAGATATCAGAGTAAAGTATATTAGCAGCTTTCCTTAGGAAATGATTTCCACAACAATATTGATGACGGATGCAGAACCCCTCAATGATATTCTCGTCCACCAGGTTTGCATCATCAGAGATCAATATTGCTCGGAACATTAAGGCCTCTAGAACTGAGCATGATGAAAGCTTGAAACTTCACTTCACCCCGACTCAAAACCTACCCAGTACTGTTACCATGGCAACTAAATAGAAAACAAAATATTGATAGGCGATCCCACCGTGAAAAACATAGCTGAGCCACACCAAAGCTAAGTGACATCTTCAGAGTCTCCCTAATCACCAATCCCCAACATACTACCCAAGGCATTAATTTGGATTGAGACCAAGGAACAAATGAAGGGTTTCCAGGTCCGAAGATGCTCAAATAATTCAAGATGAACATGATTTGTAAACCGAGAGAGTATTGGCAGTGGGACATTACATCTTGCATAAATTTCTTGCAGACTGGGCGTATCTCTTTGCTGAGCGTTGCTGAGAACATCATGACTTGTTTGTCGTGAGGTGTCATTTTGAAAATCTCCTGCACATCCCTCCTCATGTCTGATAAAGAAGCGTTAGAAATGTTAAAAACAGGTAATATTCCAGGGATAAGCTAGATGTTTTTATAAACGAGGATGTTAAGAGGTCAGCATACCAAGAGACTCGAGCATTTTATCACACTCGTCAAGAATAAAGTGCCTCACATTCTTCAAAGAGAGATCTTTGTCCCTGGCGAGTCCAAGGACACGACCAGGTGTTCCAACAACAATGTGGGGACATTCATTCTTCAGCAACTCTTTGTGAATTTTATTGTTGACTCCTCCGTAGAAGACTGAAACCTTCGTATCAGGGAGATAGGTACTGAATCGCACAAACTCATTGCAGATCTGTAAGTAATTTTCAGTATCAAGTATGAGATGTTTTAGAGACGGACAGCAGAACTAACTATTAGAAACAGAGAGTATAAGTTAAGGAAGTATGTAGGACATACCTGGTAAGCTAACTCCCTTGTATGGCACAAGATAAGTGCAGACACCTGGCCAGGAGATGGCTCGATCTGTTGCAGAGTGGAAAGCACAAAGACAGCGGTCTTTCCCATACCAGATTTAGCTTGGCAGATAACATCCATGCCCAAGATAGCTTGAGGGATACATTCATGTTGCACTGATGGAGAACCAAAGAAAATGGACCGAAAGAACCGTTTGTAAGTAGAATATAACTTCCTTATCTTTTCTTATTGGTGTCTTCATAAAATGCTAAGCTCACTCCAATTCAATAGAATGAAATAGCGTTAATTACCTGGAAAACCAAATCAGTAAAATGTCAGTAGACATAGTAATTATATAAGTGGCCATTAAAATTCGTAAAAAGAACAAAGCAAGTGAAGATGTAAGCTCAGAAACAAGGGCGGGAGCGAAATGAACTTGCCTTCGGATGGATGCTCAAATCCAGAGTCAACAATAGCTCGAAGAAGCTCCGGCTTCAAAAGAAAGTCTCTGAATCCAGAACTGTGTATTCCCACATAACCTCTGGCAAACAAAACAAAAAAATCCTATTAGCTTCCATTAAATTTTGTAGTAAAGGAACTTACAGTTACAGATTGCTATTTTCATCGGCAAACGACTAATAAAGCTTTGGTAATCTCAGAACAACCTAAAATTTAAGTAACCAGAGTTCTCATGAAACAAATTGAGAAGAGAAAAAAACTTACTTCTTGACTGCATCGCCATTAACTTTATTTCCAGAATCTAAGACCTTCTCGTCCTCTTCCTCATAGTCTAGAAGCTCCTCCTCGTAAGCTTCGTTGTTGTCTCCCATACTTCACACAAGTTCAAAGATCAAATTTCAGATAAATTCCGATAACCAAAAAGCACGAATACGCAAACATCGTTACTAAACCCTAAGGACGATAAATTATTTGAAGATCGAGAAAGATACCTGAGAACTGAGCAGAGCTGATTAGATCTCGAGATCGAATTAGGGTTGCAAAATCTCTGATTGCAGACAAAAGGAACACGAAAATATCTCGAGTCCCAAAGGGATATGGGAAGTAGCAGCGAGACTGGACAGGGTTGACCCGAGTCAAACAGGGCTTTATTATGGGCCTAATACCAAAACAAGCTCAAGATACAACTTAAAATTGTAGGCCCATTAATAAGAAGCCCATTAGACTCTCTTAACCCTACTATATATACCGCGGCTACAGCGCGGCGTCGTCTTTTACAGTTTATTTCGTTAATCCTAAATACGATTCCGAGATCCAACATACTCTGCTCATCTCTCAGGTAACTTTCTCGATCAAATCTCAATCACATCTCCATGGATAGTTCATCGATTCAACACTGTTAGGAGTTCGAGAATCAAATTACACATACACTGTTAGGACTTGGAGTTTTAGGTTTTTGTTTTGGGGTTAGGAATCTTACGGAAAGTTTCAATTGCAGCTTGTTGAATTAGCCAACTATGGGAGACGCTAGGGACAACGAAGCTTATGAGGAGGAGCTTCTCGACTATGAGGAAGAGGACGAGAAGGTCTTGGATTCTGGAAATAAAGTTAACGGCGAAGCCGTGAAGAAGTGAGTTTTTTCTGTTCTTCTCGATCTGTTTCCTAAGACGTTAGTAGTTTATTATTGTAGATTACTATACTACTTTGTTAGCTGTAAGGGTATACTTTTAAGAGTAGCTATTTTCTATGTTCTTAAATGCGAAACTTCCTAGGAACGATTATGAGACTATCTTCTTTAATTCGTTCTCATAGTTGATTTTCTCTTTGTGGCAGAGGCTACGTGGGAATACACAGTTCAGGATTCAGAGACTTCCTTTTGAAACCAGAGCTTCTTCGAGCTATTGTTGACTCTGGATTTGAACATCCGTCTGAAGGCAAGTATTTTTTTCACTCTTTTTGAGTAATTCTGCATTTCTAATGCTTTGTACCATTTCATTCTGGAAAGATAATGGTATAAATAGCATCCCCATTAACTGTTTATTTGTTAGACTGTAATTTTTAATTATGCATAAAGAAAACAGGATTGTTCGTGAGGTTTAGCGGACTCTATAATACACTATCTTGGTCATTTTCTTCTCACCTATTTAAGTTTGTATCTTGGTGTAAGATAACTTAGTCTAGTTTCGAGATGATGTGTTGAACTTGGGTTAATCCTTCCCTTTGTTTGTTCGAGTTTTTTTTTGTTTTGTTATTGTTCATTGACATTTCACTGTTTAACTTTCCAGGTAATAAACGCTATTTTAATCTATTGATTTGGAGTGAGCTTAGCATTTGGTAAAGCCACCAATGAAACGATATGGAGATTATCTTGTAATTCTAAACGGTTCCTTGGCTGCAATTTTATTTGGTTCTCCATCAGTGCAACATGAATGTATCCCTCAAGCTATTTTGGGCATGGATGTTATCTGCCAAGCAAAATCTGGAATGGGGAAGACTGCTGTCTTTGTGTTGTCTACTCTTCAACAGATCGAGCCTACTCCTGGCCAGGTGTCCGCACTTATCCTATGCCATACAAGAGAGTTAGCTTACCAGGTATGTCTCATGTACTTCCTTTTCTCTCTGCTTCTGAATTCTAATATATAACTCTGCTGTCTGTCCCGAGTTTTCTCATACTTATAATTGCTTGCAGATCTGCAATGAGTTCGTGAGATTCAGTACCTACCTGCCTGATACGAAGGTTTCAGTGTTCTATGGAGGAGTCAACAACAAAATTCACAAAGAGTTGCTGAAGAATGAATGTCCTCACATTGTTGTTGGAACACCTGGTCGTGTCCTTGGACTCGCAAGGGACAAAGATCTCTCTTTGAAGAATGTGAGGCACTTTATTCTTGACGAGTGTGATAAAATGCTCGAGTCACTTGGTATGCTTACTCTAACATCCACTTTATTTAGATATATCACTAATCCGTGGAGTCCTGTCTGTTTTAACATTTTTTTACATTCTTTGCCAGACATGCGGAGGGATGTGCAGGAGATTTTCAAAATGACACCTCACGACAAACAAGTCATGATGTTCTCAGCAACGCTCAGCAAAGAGATACGCCCGGTCTGCAAGAAATTTATGCAAGATGTAATTTCCTACGGCCAATACTCTCTTGGTTTCCAAGTCATGTAGTCTTGAATTATTTGAGCACATCTTGCCCGGGAAACCTGTCATTTGATACCTGGTCTCAATCCAATAATGCCTTGGGTAGTATGTTAGAGTTCAGAGAACTGGGAGCCACTTAGCTGTGTCGTGGCCTTGGGTAGTATGTTAGGGTTTGGAAAACTGGGAGACTCTGAAGGTGCCACTTAGCTTTGGCGTGACATTGGGTAGTATGTTAGGCTTCGGAGAACTGGGAGACTCTGAAGGTGCCAATTAGCTTTGGCGTGGCCTTGGGTAGTATGTTAGGGTTTGGAGAACTGGGTGATAGCTTTGGTGTGGTTCAGTGATGTCTTTGCGCAGTGGGATCATCTATCACCATTGTGTGTTTTTTTCTATTGAGCTGACATGATAACACTTCTGGGTTGGTTTTGAGTCGAGGGTAGTAAGGGTTCGAGATTTCAAGGTTTCATCACACTGAGTGGCCTTAATGTTGCAAGCAGTACTGATCTTTGAGGATGCAAACCTGGTTGACGAGGATCTCAGTTCAGGGGTCTTGTTTCCGTCATCAATTTTGTTGAAAACATTTTTTAAGGGAAAGCTGCTAATATACTTTACTCTCATATTTGTTCCTTACAGCCAATGGAAATATATGTTGATGATGAAGCCAAATTGACTCTTCATGGGCTTGTCCAGGTAAAGTAACTTATCATGTCTGTTTTTCTTTCATCTTCGGTTGATATTGTGCTTTATTTTGAGCGTTGGACTGTTTTCGTGTTGTTGTTACAGCACTATATCAAACTGAGCGAGATGGAGAAAAACCGCAAGTTGAATGACCTTTTGGACGCATTGGACTTCAATCAAGTTGTCATATTTGTGAAGAGTGTTAGCAGAGCTGGGGAGCTAAACAAGTTGCTTATTGAATGCAATTTCCCCTCAATATGCATTCACTCTGGCATGTCTCAGGAAGAGAGGTTTGTACATTTTTTCTTCTGAACAAACCCAACTTGCTATTATGCAGACCAACTCTTAACCCTTCACAATGGTATGATCTGTAGGCTGACTCACTACAAAAGTTTCAAGGAAGGACACAAGAGAATTCTAGTGGCGACAGACTTGGTAGGGAGAGGCATTGACATTGAGCGTGTCAACATTGTTATCAACTACGACATGCCAGATTCTGCTGATACATATCTTCACAGGGTAAGTACTCGTTTTTTTAAAAAAAAATCCTGAAATCTCATATTGATTATCGCTTTAACAAAGGGCTCTTTTAACATTACTCTTACCCACTGTTATGGTGTAGGTCGGTAGAGCTGGTAGGTTTGGAACAAAAGGTCTCGCGATCACATTTGTGGCATCAGCTTCAGATTCTGAAGTTCTTAATCAGGTCTGGAGTTTAATCTTCTTTAAACGTGTACTGTCTAGCTTCGTATTTACATGAGTTGGGGTATTAAATGAAGTTTAATTTCTTTTGTTTACAGGTGCAAGCCAGGTTTGAGGTTGATATAAAGGAACTTCCTGAGCAGATTGATACTTCCACATACAGTAAGCTGTCTTATCCTTTTTATTTTACGAATTCTATCAAATCAGCTGAACGTTTGTTTGCCATGTTGTGACATCTGATGTTGGTTCGTATTATTCTTTGTTCAGTGCCGTCTTAAAGTAGCGTCGTCTCTCAAGAAGAACTTCAGGTTACAACTGGCGTCATGGAGCTCTGCAGCTATCATCATTCCCTCTAGATTTCTATTCTAGCTGTTTTCTATCTAGACAAATTTTCATTTAGACCGGTTGTAAACTCTTCCGTAAAAGAGATCATCGCTCTGTTAAGATCTGTGTTCTACAATATTTTGTTATTTTAAGTATCTCAGACTTGGGAAAGAATATAATAGTTGTTGTTGATAATGTGCTGAAAGATCATATTCATGTTTGATATTTACAATTTAACACGTTCATACAAAGTAAGTAGTAGAAGATACTGAATACACAAATTCAAGCTATACAATAACATAATAGAGTATAACCTCTTTAAATTAATAATTTATAAATTAATATTTCTATAAATTAATATAATTTCATATCTAAATTGAATTTTTGGTTCAATTAATATCTCAATAAATTAATAATCCCTATAAATTAATAAAAAATTTAGTTTTGATGTAATCCCAACATTATTAATTTATTGAGGTTTCACTGTACGTGTTTAACCATTCTTTTCTTAGTATCATTTTACAATTCCAATATAAATTATATTTACTTTACAATTCTATTTATCTACAAATTGCATTGATTTATAAATAATTCTATTTATCTAAAATACTACTGGTTAAAAAGGTATAATTAATAACAACTTATATATATTTTAATCACTTTTTTAATATATATAAAAATATCAACGTGACATTTCTTCAGAACGGAGGGGATATAATTTAAAAACTTAGATGAGAATGAACACTTTAAGAAAAATTATCATCTTAACAAAGAGGATATTTTATAGAGAAAATGATTAGAATAGACTTAAAAAAAGTTTTTGTCACAAATATAGACATTAACAATCAAAATAACCAAAATAACACTTAAAAGTTTTATTAAATATACATTTTACCCCTTGTGTTAACTAATTCTAGACTTTTTGTTTAGAGTTGAGGAGTGAAGTTTTGGGGATAGGGTTTCAAATTTTTTTTTTTAAAAAAAAAACTTAAAATTTTCAAAATAAAAAGTGTTATTTTGGTCATTTTAATTTTTGAGATCTATTTTTGTGATAAAAACCTTAAAAGAAGGCTATTTGAGAGAATTGCCCTATTTTATATTCAGAAAATGTGTTTTGATTAAAGCAAAATTGGAAAATATATTGAACTAGATATGGGCCGTGCACTGTATTTATAAACTATAAAAATAAAATTCATTTTATAGTTTTATGATTTTTTGCATATGTTGTGTGAAATTTATTTTAGAAATTAAGAATTTGTTTTTCGTTAAAAGTTCTGATAAGATTTATATTTTAATAAGCACATATTTTATTTGATGTTTTAATTTTACAAAGGACAAAAAGTAATAAATTATTTTATATTTTATGATTGTTAAATAATTTTCAAAATTTATTTTAAATATATATTTTCATAACACTAGTTTAATAAAATAGATTATAAATACTATATATAAAACACAGATGTAATGGG